CCCCGAACATATGACAATTTCATTATATTCAACATTATCTTCTTATTCAAGATGTCTTGAATTTAATGGCTCGAGACGCATATACTTGTTTCTTTATTTCATATCGAAGAAACAATAATTCACCAGCCAAAAAGGCATGGAGCCTACATCAGATAAAAATTTGAGGCTCGAATGCGATATTAACTATTATCATATGATTGTTTGGTGATTCTACGTAGCTCTTAAAATGGATTCAATCTATATAAAGATTCATTCTTGGATTTGGAATTTGCCCAATAAATGCAAAGTAAATAGAAGAAAGATATTCAATTGGAATGCTATTATGCGTATTTGAAATGCTCAAAAATCGAGCCAAGGACCATATAATTCAATGGAATGGCATTAAACTCTAGCTAGGTAACAGTCATTATATTTGATAGTAATAAAAACAAACAGCTATAACCTGCCTATTTCGAAAAATAAAAAAATAAAAGAATATTAAATCAGCATGTCAAAATCTTACTTCATTCAAGTCTGATTTCAAACTGAGATTCAGGTATCACAATGTCTTCACAATCTAAAACAATGTCATCAATACTTAGAGGAAGACTGTTTGAGAAAGTAAGAGTCGGCTTCGCCTTTGGTACTACCATAGGCTCCGCTTCATTGTTGAGAATCTGAAGAACTGCCCTCATTGAGGGCCTTTCCATGCTATCTGGATTGGCGCAGCTCAGGCCTATGAGCAGAAGCTTTTTCATCTCTTTTTCATCGTATTCACCATTCATGTTTTTATCTGCTGCTTCAATTATCTTTCCTTCTGAATGTAGCATCCATGCCCAATCCACTAAATTCACCATTTTCTGGCTTCCAGTTTCCCTCTCAATCGGCCTTCTCCCGCTGGCTAGTTCAAGAATAACCACGCCATAGCTAAAAACATCGGTTTTCTCAGTTGCTTTCCCATATTGAAGGTATTCTGGAGCAAGATATCCCATTGTTCCTGCCGTAAGAGTTGAAACCGGGCTTTTCCCATGATCCATTATCCTTGCTAATCCAAAATCCCCTAACCTTGCATTGTAATTTGCATCCAGCATTATATTACTAGTCTTGACATCTCTATGAATCACTTGCTGTTCACATTCTTGATGCAAATATGTAAGAACAGAGGCCAGTCCAACAGCAATATTATATCTATATGACCATTGCAGTGGATTCCCATGTTCAGAGTCTGAGTAAAGCAGACTATCAAGGCTCCCATGAGGCATAAACTCATAGACAAGCAGCAATTCACCCTTTTCAACACACCAACCTTGGAGAGGAACTAAATTTTTGTGCCTCAAACAAGCAATAATTGATAATTCAGCAAGGAATTCGGTTTTACCCTCGTGGGCATGCTTGGATCTTTTGACAGCAGAAATAGTACCCAAATCCGTGAAAAAGGCCTTATAAACAGTGCCAAAGGCTCCATGCCCAACAATCCTGCTTGAATGAAACCCTCTTGTGGCTGATTTTATCTCTTTGTAACTATACTGCCTTGGCCCAGTGACAAGTTCTGCTTTCAAGCATTTTTCTGTTTTGCTTTCCCTCCATTTCTTGAAAGATATCCAACCAAATACCACAAGAACAGAGCAAAAAAAGGCTGGAAAGCCAATCCCGAGGCCTAATCTGATCCTCTTGTGATGTTTATTGCCCGAATCTGAAACCGGAGTTGGTGGTGTATGTGGCACGGAGCTATCAGATACATTGTGAGGATGAATTCTTGGTCTCACAGGGTGAAATCCCATTGTTTGAAAACTCCAATTCTCAATATAATGCAACTCTGTACTGCCTTCTGTAGAAGCTGAAAATCCCACATACATAAATTCGTTTAGATAACCAGAGAGATCAACATTTACGTTCAACAATGGCTTTTCAGGCTTGAAACTTGAATAGCTCAAGAAAACATCCAACTTCTTCTTCTCATTCATGTAATCAATCCAAGCAGTAATCAAATTCCCACTCTTCAAATTCACACTCTGCAGCGTCGGATTGGCAGTCTTGATGGAGATAAGGCTGTTAATATCCAACCCAACATGGTTGTCATCAGGATCATTAAAGTGCAAATCTTGCCTCGTATCAAATTCAATCGCAGTAAATCTGTTCTTGGTCAATTGCGATGAATTGACAAGGCCCAAGTACCCTCCTGCATTTCCCACGGTCTGGTTATTTGGAGATATGAAAAAGGTCAACCCATCTCCAAACGACGACGGATTAACATTCCCAATTGAGAAAGAAAATCTTGTGGAGAAAGAAGCAGTGATATTGGTTTCTCGATCAAAGAATTCAATTGGGTGGTTGTAGATTACACAACCAGAGCTAGATGTTGGGACTTCAAGCTCCCTGGTGAGTCCAAAAACCCCATTTCGGAGATAAGAATCTCCAAGAATAGTGAAGTTTCGAAAAGAGAAGACTGGGAAATCAAGATTCACATTCTCTGATGACACCAGTAAGGGATGTTGCCAGAAGTTGAAGAGGAACAACAAAGTGGACACTACAAGAAGCTTTCTTGAATTCATGGCAAACAATGCTAGAATTTTGATGTAAGATAGTAAAGAAAAGATTATGTGAAGATTTCTTGGAAGTATTTGGGTTCATGGAGGTGGGGATGGGAGGGAAAATGGGGTTTAAACGGTTTGGGGGAATTGGTCATGGGTAAGTGGGGTCGGTTATTCGAAGAAGAAGAGACATTTGGACAAGGGTTTTATAACGGTAATATGTAGGCTAATTTAGGAGGGGAGCCAAAGTACAGCTGATTTTACATTTTTAAGCAGAGTTAAAGACACGGTTTGGGGTCTTTGGACCCACCAATTGGAATTTGTAATTTTGGACGCCAACAAAATTCAAATAAAGCCGTTGTACAATCATAATGATTTGACCAATTCAATTCCATATCATATTCATAACTATTATTTAGCACGAGTCTAGATGATGATAGGATTATTCATCTTCAATTGTTCAATTTACCAGTGGAGTCACCTTTGATTGTCCAAATTGATCAATAAAAAATTATGATGTTCATCGTCTGTACGTCATCATAATTAGTGTTTACCTTCGACTGTTGAGATTTTCATCTTTGCATCAATTAAGAATAATGATATTTATCGACACCCTGTTGTACATCATCACAACTGGTGTTTTTCTTTGACCATCCAAATTTTCACTTTGCTCCACTCGTGTTTATAAAATAAAGTCCATCTTCGATGTAGATAAATTTAAAAAATTATAAAAATCTCAATTCAATTCAATAATTAATTTTAAATTATACATTTTATGGGATTCACACCTTTTAAATCACACATTGTATCAATATTTAACAAAATCTGATTTTAATCGATGACAAACTAGGCATACATTTTCGGAGCTGCTATTTATATTCATCGTTGTTAAAATTTTAAAATACTATTTTCATCCACGTCACATTTCAATATTTTCATTTATTTAAACACTATTCATCCACTCCATTTTTATGTATCTATCACACTTTAAATATATCCATATTATAATTTTAGAATTAAATAATAATAATAATAATAATAATAATAATAATAATAATAATAATAATAATAATAATAATAATAACAACATACAACATTAACTTTCTCACAATTAAATAATTAATTCTATGACCAAAACTTATAAGATGGGTATATCCATAAACCATAAACCCCTATAATTACACGTGCAATGTGACATAGACTCTATTATTTTATTGAAATTAAACATAATAATTTGGGGGCAAAAAAATTTTAATAAAAAAATTGGCCCTTTGCCGACCACCATAAAAAGGTAATTAAAAATAACACTAGATTGAGAAAAAAAGGGGTAACTCTTAGTATATTTTATATAACTACTAATTAGAAAGATGACTTTCTTAGCATTCCTGTTTGGCAAAGACATCTAATTAAATGTTTGTTAAAAACAAATTAATTTATTCTATAGTTTGTTATATGATTATTTTAAACCATATATTCATATATTAAAATATTTTATGCGCATATAAAATTTTTTTTCCCAACATTTTAATTACATTATCCTAATAATCACTATTCAAAATTCTTTTTCCTACAATAATGGTTGTCAAACAGGCTCTAAGAAGAATGATGAAACTTTCTTTTTATAATCCTACATAAATTAAGCCCATATTTGACAATCATTATTTCAAAATTATTTTTTTCTAAATACTTATTTTCAACCATAAATTCTTACAATAAAATATTCAACTATACACCTAAAACATTCTCCTACTTTTAAAATACACAATCTCCAAAAATTCACTTTTAAAAACATTGTTTTAATCAAATAATGGCCACCAAACAAAGGGCTAAGTTGCTTAACTTTAATAATATGTCAAGCAAACATGTATTAAGTTAAAGTGATATTGAACAGAACACTGAATGGATTGAGGAATAGTTTGACCAAAAAGGAAAAAAGTAGTAAGAATAGTAAAAACTGTAGATTTGTCATTTGAGCTTCGATTTGCCATCTGAGTTCGTTTAGAACTCGAAAATTGCTTTTTAAATTTTAGTGCTATTTTTATCGTTTAGTTTATTTCGAATTCTTTTCAATGTTTCATGTAAACCCTTATAATTACTCATTTTTTGGTATCTTACATTAATAGAATTTCATGAGTTTATTTTTTCTTAATTTGGTGGATTTCAAAAATTACGTTCTTAAAATATTTACTTAAATTTTGAAACGTCCCAAAACTTATGTCCTGGAGGTTGCTCAATTAATTTCTTTATTCATAAGAAAAGTGAATTTACTCATATGGTAATACAAAAAATTTGAAGAACTTTGCAGAATAAAATAATCTATTTTTTAATATCTCATAAAAATGTCAATTAACTTTAATGTAATATAAATTCTGCACTTATTTTTTAAAACATTCAACATCTATTTTGAACATAAAATTTCTAATTTGAAAAAATGTTTTCCAACTAAATACTAAACATTAAAAGAATATAAAATTCTTGATCCAACGGCATAGACTTTGTCAACGGTCTTAACCTCCAACTCCGATCCATCAAGCATCTGTAAAAATAATTTAAAAATATGGAGTGAGCATATGAATACATATTTGTTAAACCTGACCATGTAGTCGACCAAGAAACATCATCGGATTGCTAGGTCAGTTGTTCAACCAATGACTCGGTGGTTGAACTGGTGGATCATTGTTAAATCGTAATTTTAATTAAAATATATTTTTAAATTAAAAAAACTATTTTGCTAAATTTAAACATATATGTTTGACTCCCAATATATGACCAAAGTTTATAAGTTTTCCAAATTGTCAAGGAAGTGAAATATAACTTTGGAAGACAATGTTCAATCATTGCCATCGCAAATAGAATATAAATTTTCTATTGTAATTTGGTTATCATCTCTAAATCTAAATATATATATTTGACTCACAAGGTTGTGTAAAGGCTCATTAGTTTTCAAAATGGTTGAGGACCAAAAACTCCTATTTGAATGCCAAGGTTCGAATCACACTCCCATGCAAATTAGAGAGAAAAATTTTACATTGTAATTGTTAACCAAATTGAATTGGCCCGTCCGAACAGGTTGAACTCGACCGGTTCTTAAGAGGTTCATTCGGTTCTTGACAAGTTCATTTGCTTGCTTGTCCAATTAATGAACTCAGACCGGACCACCGTTTAGTTCGACGGTTCCTGATCTGAGTCGGCCGGTGCAGCCAGATTTTAATAACTATATATAAATATACTTAGTATAGATATCATGCCAATATTTTCACAATTTAATATAAAAAGCAAATTGTTGTGTGTTGTCATAGACACCCCAAATTAAAACATGTACTTCTTAAAATTAATACAGTAGTGGAAGTAAGAGTCGATTCCACAAAGAGTGTTTAGTCTACTTTCTATGCTAAATTAATGAAGATGGGGGTTTTGGTTTTGAAACAATCAATTATTAAGAAAAATAATTAATATCAAAGCAAATTAATGAATTAATGAAATCAATATAACAAATATTGATCTAAGTCAACATCCACCATTGAAAATTTATAACAGGTTATTGATCCACAAATAATCATCAATTCACAATTTTAGCATTTATTGTGGAAAAAAATTTCCATTCAAAACGATTTCTGATTTCTTCTTAGTTTTAATTAATTTGAGACAAGCGATTTAATTAATCCTAATTATCCAACAATCCCAGGCAAATGCGAATATTTAATTCAATAATTGCTTTATGAACTAGAGAAATCAATTAACTAGATCACATAAGCACACACGGTTGCATTTAAACTAGATAAATATTTTTCCTATGATTTAATAATTTCCAAAGCGGAAAGTCATTAATCGTAGTTGCTTCACAAGTTAAATTTATCAAACAACTACGAATTTGATATTTAACTTAGCTATAGATTGTGGAGAATAATAAATTATTATGCATCCTAGCAATTAAACACATCAAAAATAAAAATACATGTAGAAGAATATTTAATACTAAACATATAAATTAAACAATAAAAATTTGGTGGATCTCGCAGTTATAATTGTTCGAAGGCTTCCGTCTCTTTCGAACAAGCACAAGACTTTAGTTACACATCGTAAATCTAGAGCACAAAAAGAGAGAAAAGTGGGTCGGGGGCGTTCTCTCTGTTTTTTGACGATTTTAGGGTTTAAAAGACGTATCCCGAGTTGTTTCTAGGTGTTTGACTTAAATTAGGAAACCAGAATTTGCACCTCGGAGATGAAAAATGCGACCGCTTGGTTTAAATGGTTGCTGTCTCATAGAACAACTATTTTCAGCCCTTAAGTCCTCTGAAGCAAGGTGTGTGACCGCATGGTATTACCATTTTCTCCTCCGAACAACTTTCAGTATTTTTATTATAACTTTCTCTCCTGATATCCGATTGAGGTGATTCAAATTGTGTTTAAAAGCTAACGAAAAGGGTTACAATTTTCCTAGAGATAGAATTTTTCCAATTCGCAAATTTTTTATGCCAAAAATGGGTCTCAAACAGAAACTTGAAATTTGGAGCGTAACTTTCTTGCCTAAAAGTTGATATGTGATAACGCTTCGACCATATTTTATCACTTTGACTTCTTTCCTCATTCGATTGACCCTTAACACTCTTGAATCTGCATCCCATAACTTGTCTCATCTATGAATTATTTGCAACTTGATCCCTAAACTTTCACTTGCTTCCATTTCTCCCAACTTTCACGATTTCCATCCAATTGCAACATAAATCAAAATATAATGGTACTAAGAACATATAGGTATCAATTAATCACAAAAGTACAAGTACTAATGGATGAGAAAACAACATTTCATGCCTTATCGCAAATAATGTACGCACATAAAATAATTTTCTAGTTGGATAGATACGTAACTGTCTCATTCTCACTTATATGTCATACCCATTCTCAATTTCCACTTAGGGCATTTATCCCCGTGACTGGTTTCTGTATAAATATACATAATAATACCCAATGGTATTACTCACAAAATCCTTCTTTAATTTGGATCATATAATAGCACATATAATATTTAACTTAAAACAATAAAAAATGAAAACACAAAATCACTTGGTATTCAAAGAAATCCATACCTAATTCATTAAATTCCTTATGTACTTGAGCTACTTAGAACTAAAAATTCTTGCGAATGAATCTTGAATGCATTAGAAAGGCTTTTATTTCCTTTT